GTTAAAAAATAATCTTATATACACACTCAACCAGTTCACTAACCAGATGTTGATGTGTTATCAAATTTCCAAGAGTTGCTAGGCTTGCTCAAGGGCTCTACTTCCTCGACATGCCATACCGTGAACTCGAGCAGGAGTCCGTTTGGACAGGACTCTAGAGCCACAGAGCGCGGCATTTGCACTTGAGCCGACTCGTTGAAAATCGGATGTCGTGTCCGAGCTCGAATTTGGGTGCGCCGGTTCAAAAGACAAATTGGCCGCGGCTGCCATGAGGCGGCGGCTGCGATTGCAGCCGCCGCCGTGACTGGAGACAGTCCAGGCGTCCCTGTTGACGGGCGACGTTCGACTCCAGGCACAGGGCTAAGTTGGCCGGAGGCAGTTACAAGACCGGTTAATCGGCCAGGATTTGGACGAGAGAGTCCAGACTTACCGGAATTCGAGTCATGACCCGAGGTCATTCTGCCCGGCACCAGTGACAGTCTTCGTTGTTGTTGAGAGGTGCACCGTTCTCCGCTAGACCCAACACCGCCGCCATTAGAAGACGAGACATCGTAGCTGGAACCTGGCGTAAAAAGTGCCATCTCCATTTGGATGTAAGTGGAGGCTGGCGAAAAGTGTTTTTTTGTAAGCAAACAATATTGGTTAGATAGACGGATGAAGCGATGGAAAGATTCACTTCATACCCGGAGGAAAATATCTGATTATTTATATAGTTGGTAACAGTCTATTTCCGAACATCACCATGGGGCCAGTTTTTGTGAATTTCTCTTACCTGTCATGAAAGTTATACAGCCATTCTCGGTTAGGAGAAAATTAGGTTTAAACCACGTCTCGTTCTCTAATCAGCCTTTTCAATCGTGTAAGAGGCAACTACAGACCTCACTTAATTCATATCAGCTGGTGAAAAAGTTGGCGTCAATAGATAATCATGTATTTGCCATTAAATTAAATATATTACTGTCTATTCGTGATAGAATGTACTTTCATATGTGCCTAATTTTAG